ACGCGCGCGTGTGAGTGTGTGTGTGTGTGTGTGTGTGTGTGTGTGTGTGTGTGTGTGTGTGTATGTGTGTGATGTGGTGATTAGAAATAGCCTCTGCTTAGAGGACAACCCAGATTGTCCTATGTGGGTAGAGATATGGGTGCTCTTTACCCGGGTGCACTTCATGACCCGTGTTTTTTCCCTGATAAAGTAAGGAATCCCACCCCAGGGCAATCTTTTTTTTTTCTTTTTAATTTTTTTTATCCTCACCCAAGGATATTTTTCTGTTGATATTTAAAGAGAGTGGAAGAGAGAGAGAGAGACAGAGAGAAATATTGATGTGAGAGAAACACAACGATTGGTTGCCCCCTGCCTCTGAACCCAACCAGGGTCTGGACCAGGGAGGAGCCTGCAACCGGAGGTACGTGCCCTTGACCAGAATCGAACCCGGGACACTTCAGTCTGCAGGCTGACCCTCTATCCACTGAGCCAAACTGGCTCGGGCCAGGGCAATCTTTATAGAAGCATTTACCTCGGGGACTGACCACCACCTCCTCCCCGCCTCCCACCCCCCAACACACACCCAACATGGGAATCTAAGAGATTTGTCCTAATTCCCCAGTTGAGCAGCTGTGGGGCTGAGAGTTGCTCACAAAGTTTGCAGCCTTGTTGGGAGGACCCCCAGATCACTGCCCCCCCTTGTCCGCTGCCTTGGGAAGCTCACCGCCTGCTCAGGTTGAGGTGTCCAAGGGAGAAACCCTAATGTAACAAGTTGTTTGATAATCAGGTAACCTGAGAGCTGTGTCCAGGCTGTTTAGGGGGAAGAGGGTCAACTCTGGGTGGGCGTGGCCTAGGGGCCCAGGCTGTGCCCTGAGCAGCCCTTTGGGAGACCAGGAGCTTCTGTGTTGCATCCTGATTAGGTGATAGGGTGGCAGTGGGGCGGGAGCTGCTGACGGGGAGCTGAGGGGCGGACCCACAGCCCCTGGAGGCAGAGGCGCTTGCAAGGAGTCAAGACCTGTGGCCCAGGAGCTGCTGTCCTCCCACAATGCGGTTCTTCGCTCTGGTCCTGGGCTCCCTGGCTGCTTGCACTGCTTGGGGTGAGTCCTTCTGAAATACAAATAGCGGGGGGAGGGGGCACATTTGGAAATTCGTGTCTGGTGCGAGGTGGGGAGCTGCGTGCTGGGTAAACCTGTGATGGGTGTGGTTCCGAAACGATGTGATGGTAGTGCATCCATGAGTTGCAGCAGACCCAGGGGTGAGGGACCGTGGAGACGGACCACCGCTCACCGCACCCCTGTGCACGAGGACCTGTAGGAGGTCATCTATTTCCCCGCTTATTGGTCCAGATGTGGCCAAATCATAGACAGCGGCTTAGCAGCATGTTAACATCGACTCCACGGGCATGTGGGTCCTTAGTCAGGGCGCCTCCTTCTCTAAAATGTGTGATGATGGTACACCTCCCTGGGGGTGAGGGGGAGGAAGGGGGGGATCTCCTTAGGATGAAATGGGTTGATTCTTTGGGGTTAGGGGAAGTGCCACGGAAGAATCCTTAAATAAAGGGGTTGTTTTAAAGTGTCCTGTTTTAATAGAAACTGCTGGAGGGCCTGCAGATCAGGAGCCACTTCATTGAGAAAATAGGTTGTTACTCCCAGTTTCCAAGAGGCAGAGGGGGCCCACCACCATGATTGCCACAAGGTAAACAGCAGGTAGGTCAGGAGACGGAGGAGGGAGGAAGTGTGGCAAGAGTCTTGGTGGTGGTTGCAGGTCAGGGCAAGCTATGCAAATAGGCAATTTCAGTGGTGGTTGGCAGGGATCTGGCCCTGGAGTGATAAGGGCAGGAAGATAGTGGCTGGGACATGGTAGCCTGAGAAGCTATTGAGGGAGGAGGGCAGGGGTATAGAATCTGGCATGCTAGAAGGGCAATTTAATGACTATCTCTAGGAATTGGTTCACTCTAAGGGGGGCAGGGGCAGTACCTCCAGAGTCAGCCATACCTGGGATGTCAGTCAATGTATCAGAACAGAAAATTAAAGACATGGTGAGGAGTTGTTCTATGGGATCGTTTTGCTTTCCTGGGTCTGGAGCTAAAACACAACTGAGGCCAAGATATTGTGTTCCATTTGGTTGTAAAATCTGTCTCAATAA